CTGAACTTGCTTGCCTGCAGTCCTGATCTTTCACCGATTGAGAACATTTGGTGCATAATTAAACGAAGATTCCGTCAAAGGAGACCCAAAACTCTCCAGCAGCTGGAAGCCTGTATAAATCAAGAGTGGGATCAAATTCCAGTGGTCAAACTCAAGAAACTTGTCTCCTCAATGCCCAGACGCTCCCACTCTGTGTTATAAAGAAGAGGGGATGCTACACCATGGTAAACAAGCCCCTGTCCCAACTTTTTTGAGACCTGTAGCAGCCAACAAATTTGAAATGAGCTCATTTTGTGGATAAAATTGTTAAATTTATCAGTTTCAACATTTGCTATGTTATCTCTGTTCTATTGTGAATAAAATACTGGCTGGTGTGATTTGAAAGTCATTGCGTTTTGATTTTATTGACAATTTACACTTTGTCCCAACTATTTCGGCATTGGGGTTGTAAAAATAAACGGTGACTCATCAGAACCTGTAATTTCAGCAGGATGAATTGCTTGCTGGTTCTGGCAGTGCGCAAATTAAATGTAGAGAGGAATTTAATCTACAGCGTAACCCCAGATATTCATTCATATAAGTTTCCTGAAGAAGTCGCAAATCCTTTCCCTTGTGCAGTTGCGTCAATTAGAACGAGGCTTAAATTGAGAACGTGCTTTGTAATACTCTGAGGAAGTTGCATAACCACGCGCGGTCTCTCCATGGGCACATAGCAGCGGGAGATAAGTGATAAGTATATATTGTTCCGTGATAAAGATCGGACCGGGTTTTGAAACAGATTGAAAACAGGAATATGCTCACTTTTACCCATGCACTTTTTTGATCGTGCTCAATAATGTTTGGACGCTCTAATTTCTCACTGTTGACAGTACCATTTATAAAGTAGTTCTGATATCTGTGTGATAAATCAACATTATAATACTTGGTCTATCACTTCTAATATCAAATCTGAAGGGGCTGAGCAATCAACATTGCGTAGCCACTTTCATCCAAGCACTTCCGTCGGCACTGATCGAAAATTAACAGCAGACTCTCACAAAGCATTGTGCTCCCATTCATTTGCTTTTAATCTTTGATTATTAAGAAATTAAGAAATAGTTTCAGAGTACATTTAGGTGAACTAATTGGTGTGCTCTTTTTTTCCAAGTTAACAGTCCGATGGAGAAATACAGCGCTGAGCCTTTCGCCTTGCGCCTGTATGACATGTATTGTACTGACGGTATCTCCGTGGCAGCGGAGCGACCTACACGCGCGCAATGTGAAATGGTTCACTCCTGCCTGCGCGATCATGGATTTCAGCTACTTTCTTAAATACTGATATACTGCCTTTTCACATAGCGCCACATTAAATTTACGACACTGGAAAAAATAAGTTTCTTTTTTTTTGTGGTCCACAAAGAGTAGCCTACCTCCAAGTTCCACTCATCACAGGAGCCGCGCCAAGAACAAGCTCTCTGAGCGCAATATTCTCGCGCTATTGAAGTGGGACAACGATAAAAGCCCATATCACATCTGAGCGCATGGCCAAATTAATTTTGATTTGCTATTTACTCCTGAAAAGCAAGCCGATTTATTGTGCTAATTTTAAAATAACTATTTTTGAGCACAAACCATAGTCGCTGGACGGTAGCCAGGAAACTTCACTGGAAGATTTTTACAAATTGTGGCTCAGTTTCACGAAGCTGGCATTCTTGTAAAGGCAAACTACACAAATCCCGTCAGAACTATTCTACCGAGCAGGCGAGAGATTCCCCTGACCGTGCAGGTGTGGATTGAGTTCACGCGCTCCTACGCAAGCAACGAGGTACAATGACAGCCAATTCAGTCAGGTCCAGCCTATAAAAGTCCAGTAGCCTTCCAGTCTACAGATATCTTCAAGTGATCTGGAGAGACCGTGAACCAATACAACAGAGGAAAGCACTTCGCTGAATTTAAACCTTTTCCAGAAAACCGTCCGTCAGGTATGGAAATTTCATATTTTGTCTACAAATTTTGGTTTTGATGACATTATGTCATGATGATAATGACTCTGTCGTCGGCTGAAGTGTCATCAGTATCGTAAATTCAGTTAAAAAAATTGAAGTGCACGTGCACTGGCATCAAAACAAGATCTCTAGCCTATTATTTGAAAGACACTAACTATTCTAGAACATGATTGCTCAACATATTGATATTTGTCACTTGTATGGTTTAAAATCTGTGAAAAAAATCAGATAGTACTGAACAGAATTGTCCCCACAAGACGTCCAAATAAAATTATTTTATTCAAAGTAATTTTGAACATTTTTGAAAAATATTCTAACAAAACACTCTAAAATGCAAACAGTACAAAACAGAAAAATGTGCATTGCAAATGGTAATGCAATGGTACCAATTTATGATGTCTTGAACAGATATCTGAATAAGGCTCTAACGCCCTCTCCTACTCATAATCAAAAACGTATAATTAATGGTAACATCTAAACTTATATCCAACCAACACAAGAAAGAGAGCACAAATCTATATAACGAAATGGTCTCTTTCCTAGATCCCAGGCGATAAGAAATGAAGCAGGCATTGCTGGTCTTCACCACCCTTTTTCTTGCGACCGTCCTACCTCGTTACGAATGTAGACCTGTCGAAAACCCCGGCTCTGAGCAGGCAACTGTTTCTTATCCACAATCTGATCTACAGAGGCAATCTCTTCCCATTCTTTTGCGACTAGGAGAAGAGTACTTCTTCAGGCTTGGCAGCGCGAACCAGAACTCCCAAGTGTTCTTGCACCCAGATGCACCACCCACAACCATCAAAAGGGCGCTGCAGCTGCAGCTTACCCGACGCCTGCTGCAGGGCAAAGTTGGCAACATCCGTCGGCACGTGAGCAGCAGTGCCGACCTGCTCGACGACCCGATGGAAAGAGAAAAGCGGACCGAAGACAGCCCAATTTCTCTGGATCTGACGTTCCACTTGCTTCGAGAGGTACTTGAAATGGCTCGAGCCGAAAAGTTAGCTCAACAAGCACATAGCAACAGAAAAATGATGGATATCTTCGGCAAATAGTAATGGAACAAATCCATCAGCGAAAGGATATTTGTAACATTTAGCACATTACACGAATTCTATACCACCCATCTTTTTGCATTATTTGTTCATTCGTTTATTTATTTTTATATGTACTCATTTTTTATGTCTTATCCTCAGGTAAAGAAACGGGATAGCAAATTAGCCGGCTATAATCGATTGTTTCATAAAGCAAAGCAAATGTAATTTAAAAATGTGTAACTGTTGTAAAAAGCCATTCGCACGAGCTCCTATTTTTGTTAATCGGTGTTTTCTTAAACACCTGTCCACAATGATTGTTTGGAAATAGAAATCCATTGACCTATGATAAATTAACAACTTGACCTAAATTTATTTTCGATGTATTCTCAACAATTGACTTACGTCTGACAATAAATACATCATGAGCAATCAATTGTTTATGTGTATGAGAATCTCTGACACGTATATTTTTAAATAAAAATTCTGCTTTGCACTTTCCTGAGTGCGTTTTTGCGTGGTAAGTGTTTAATGCGCGTGAATGAGTCTTCAAAACAGTGTTCACGTTAGATCAAAGTAGAAAAGTGGAATAAACTACATATCCTGGATAACAGTCTCCACAACTGTGCTGAAAGAAATCGCGAATTTCTTCTTCGGCTCTCATGATTTCTAACCCTGAGACAACAGGTAGCGCGTAATAGGCGTGGGGAGGCAAGGGGACGCTATTTCAGAGAGTTTAGCCAAGAGAAAGAAAAAACATGACGAGGCCCTTCTCCACCTTTATCATCAGGATTTTGGTTGTTATCTCCCTGTCCGCTTGCAGATGTATCAGAAGACTCCTGAAAAAGAAAACAGAAAGAAAGATTTTTAAGGGCTTGTAAAATACCATGCAATGTGAGAAAAACACAATGTAACATAAGAACCCCCCCCAAACACACACACACACACAACAGAAAAGTCCATCTTCTTCAGGCGAGGAAAAAAATAACCACACAAATACCGATGAGAACACGGGATTGGAAAATTGCCATACAATTTTATCACGTTGTAAATCCGCGTTTACAGGGCAAAAGACAGTTTAAACAGGTAAAACTTGAAAGTGAAGAACAAAACAACATGAAACATCATGCAAATGCATCTCAGTTGCATCGAGTCATTAAGTTGGACAGCCATCGCTTCCCCTCATGCGCATCACTGAGCGAATCGCGAGGTTAGCAGATCGGAAAGCGGCCTTTTAACTGCAACCAGCAGCCATGCAATCACGTGCATTGCTCCCATAGACTGGCAGGACTGAGCTTCATTTGTGTTTCTATAGAACAGGCGTCCCCAATCTTTCCCAGAAAGGGCCGGTGTGGGTGCAGGCTTTCATTGCAACCAAGCAGCTACACACCTGATGCTACTAATCAAGCTTAATAGCAAAGAGTCCATGGGTTGATTAGTAGTATCAGGTGTGTAATTGCTTGGTTGCAATGAAAGCCAGCACCCACACTGGCCCTTTCTGGGAAAGATTGGGGACCCCTGCTATAGAAGATCTCCTGGCAAATTTCAATGGCAAATTACTGTTATACCAGTAGAGGGCGATCTTCCCACTGGTCAACATAAACCCAGGGCAGCTAAAGGGGGCACTACATCTCAGGGGTCAGGGGTGCCTTTCATTACACAAACAAGTCCCCTCGCTTCCTTCACTTGCAACTCTTCGTCGCGTCTTCGCTCCTCTCAGTAAAAATCTGAGAGAGCTGCGGGGAAGCGTCTCACTGCACATCTCCTCAAGCTGCCTACGGGCAAGAGGCAGGGACCCACCCTGGACAGCTCGCCAATCCATTGCAGGACGCACACACTATTCACTCTCATACCTATGGGCAATTTAGCATCTCTAATTAGCCTGGTGTGCATGTCTTTGGACTGTGGGAGGAAACCGGAGTACCCAGAGGAAACTCACTCGAACGCAGGGTTCGGGGAACATATGAACTCCACGCAGAAAGGCCCCACGTTGGATTCGAAACCACGACCCTTTTGCTGTGAGGCAACAGTGCTAACCACTGCGCTATTGTGTTGTCTAAGGACCTGCATTATTGTGGTTATTAAAGATCCCATGAGGCATATCACACTCCAGAGGATTCCATAGTCAGTCTCAGGGAAAGTAATTAACATGGCTGTAAGCCTGGGCTGCATCATTTCTATGACCCCCAATTTTATCATTAATTCCTCCATACCTCAGATGATGTGATATGAGCCTTTTGGAGCAAAACACACAGCATCGTCCCAGTGGACGTCCCAGTTTTCACCTAAATGTAAAGTACTTTGATAATGAAACAAAAGCACTGCAAATGTATTATTATTATTATTATTATTATTATTATTATTATCCATCCATACATTATCAATACTGCTTCTTCCCTCTAATGTCATGGGAAAGCTGAAGCCTATCTCAGCTGACTGTGGGCAAAGGGCAAGGACACACCCTGGACAGCTCGCCTATCCATCGCAGGACGCACACACCATTCACACACCATTCACTCCCACACTCATTCCTATGGGCAATGCAGCACCTCAAATTAGCCTGACATGCATGACTTTGGACTGCAGGAGGAAACTAAGGAACCCGGAGGAAAACCCAGTAAACATGGGGAGGACATATAAACTCCTCCCCGTATCATCATCTTCATCTTCATCATCATCATCATCGTTATAATTAGCCATACCCCCCGTAAACATCGCTTCAGGTTTTCAGCTGAATTCTGAAAAAGTGTAATTAATTACTTACTAAGTCCTCACAGAAAAATACACCAATCAGCCATAACACTATGACCACATGCCTAATATTCTGTAGGTCCCCCTTTTGCTGCCAAAACAACCCTGACCCATCCAGGCATGGATTTCACCAGAACTCTGAAGGGGTTCTTTGGTATCTGGCACCAAGACATTAGCAGCAGATCCTTGGAGTCCTGTGAGTTGTCCAGCTCATTCCACAGATGCTAGATCAGAGTGAGATCTGGGGAATTTGGAGGCCAAGTCAACAGCTTGAACTCATTGTTGTGTTCCTCAAACCATTACTGAACCATTTCTGAGGTGTGACAGGGCACATTATCCTGCTGAAAGAGGCCACTGCCATTCGGGATACCATTTCCATGAAGGGGTGCACTTGGTCTGCAACAACGTTCAGGTGAGGGGTAAGAGTCAAAGTAACATCCACATGAATGGCAGGACCCAAGGTTTCCCAGCAAAACATTACCCAAAGCATCACACTGACTCCGCTGGCTTGCCTTCTTCCCATAGTGCATCCTGCTGCCATGTCTTCCCCAGGTAAATGACGCACCTGGCCATCCACATGATGTAAAAGAGAACGTGATTCAGACCAGGCCACCTTCTTCCATTGCTCCGTGGACCAGCTCTGATGCTCACGTGCCCAATGTAGGTGCTTTCAGTGGTGGACAGCAGTCAGCACGGGAATCCTGAATGGTCTGCAGCAACGCAGCCCTCTATGCAACAAACGGGCCAGCCATCACCCCCCACGAGCATCAATGAACCTTGGCCGGTCATGACCCCGTCGCCAGCTCGCCAATTTTCATTCCTTGAACCACGTTTTGTAGGTACTGATCACTGCAGACCGGGAACACCCCACAAGAGCTGCAGTTTTGGAGATGCTCTGTTCCTGTCATCTAGCCATCACAATTTGGCTCTTATCAAAGTGGCTCACATCCTTATGCTTGCCCGTTTTTCCTGCTTCCTACAGATCAATTCTGAGGACAAAATATTCACTCGCTGCTTAATATATCCCACCCACTGACAGGTGTCATTATACGAGATACTCAATGTAATTCACTTCACTTGTCAGTGGTCATAATTTTATGGCTGATCAGTGTATTTCCAATTGTCAGTTTTATATTTACAACTTAAGGCGAACATTTTAACTTCTAATGTGGTTTTCTTAAAATTTTAATTGAGTGTAATGCTCACACCAGCTTATAAACACAATAAGAGCCAATTCCCTGAAAACAACAGAACCTCGCCAATGTGCTAAAGTCATATTAAACAAGCAGAAATAAAATCACGGTCATGATCACATCCCTATCCTATTCCTTAACGAGATTCAATTTCTTCCAGAAGAAATCACTCCGACTAAATAGGACTCAAGTGAAGGCAGTTCGAATTTTGTGCAATTTCAAATGAAAAACTATCAACTTCTACAGTGCCTGACAAAAGTTTTGTCACTTATCCAAGTTGTAGGAACAACAAATAATAACCTGACTTGTAGTTGATCAATTGGAATCAAAAATGGCTTATATGAAAGGCAAAGCCCTCTAGATTATGCAAAATATACCAAAATAGAGTTTTGTGGCATTGATTGAGTTTTATAATTTAATCTGTACAGATAGGTCAGATTTTGCTTGGACAAAAGTCTTGTCGACTTGTGGAAATTATACATACACTTTATTTTGAATACACAAATATGCCACTATAATATCAGAACATAAAGCCATGGTGCCTTGGAAAAAAGAATTAATATTGCGTATGACTCCCATGAGCTTGGAGGACTGCATCCATACGTCTTGGCAATGACTGAGATAACTTGATGATGAAATCATCTATAGAAAGCAGTCTTGCAGGACTCCCAGAGTTCATCAAGATTCTATGGTTTCATCTTCCAAGCCTCCTCCTTCATCTTACCCCTGAAATGCTCAATAATGTTCATGTCAGGTGACTGGGTTAGCCAATCCTAGAGTACCTTCACCTTCTTCGCTTTCAGGAACTGTGACATGGAGGCAGAAGAATGAGAAGGAGCAGCAGTACAAGTAGGGCAGCAAGAACTTCTTGATATTTCAGGCTGTTGATGTTGCCATCCACTCTGCAGATCTTTCTCACGCCCCCATGCTGGATGTAACAACAAACCATGATTTTTCCTCCACCAAACATGATTGTTTTCTGGGAGAATCTTGGGTCCATGAGGGTTCCAACAGGTCTTGTACGGCGACTGGCATGCAGTTCAATGGATGATTCACCAGAAAAATAAACTTTCAGCCACTTTTCCATTATCAATCCTTTCTGCGAGCTGTGGGCCTTGGCAAATGCATTGCAGGTTTTTTGTTTTCTGTTTAATGCAGACTTCTGTGTACTAATTTGGCTATGAAAACCACTTTGAGAGAGAATTTGACAAACTCTTCTTGTAGATACTGGGATTTTTTGGTGACATTTCCTCTTGTAGCTTCGCTGTAGTTGAAGAAGGGCTAGCCTTGTACAGTTGAAGCAACAAATGGTCCTTTCAAACAGTTGTCATACCGGGGTCTGTCTTACCTGCGCTTGCCATGAACGTCACCAGTTTCTTCAAATCTTTTTCTCATCCCCTTCACTTGACATTTGGATACATTAAAGATGTCTGCCACCTCAGCAGCAGACTCAGTCTTCAGGCTCTTGATGATCAGCACTTTGGTCTGTGGTTGAATCTTTGGTATGTTGTCAGAGGTCTAGTCGCACCTCATATGAAAGTCTGGTGTGCTGGGGTTATTTCTATACACATCTGGGAATGTGTTAATTACAGTATTTGTCATAGGTTAAACTCTAATCTGCGATTTGTTGCATCTTGCACCAAATTATTAATGTGAAAGCCCTTGACATTAAAATGGACCATTTATTATAACAATTGATTGGTTAGAAATAAAGTTATAAGCTATTTTTAGTTGCTATGTCCTTATGCGACAAGACTTTTGTCAGGCACTGTATATACAGCGGGGAAAAAAGTATTGAACGCGTCAACATTTTTCTCAGGAAATATAATTCTAATGGGGCTAGTGACATGAAATTTTCACCAGATGTCGGTAACAACCTAAGTAATCCACACATACAAAGAAATAAAAACAAATAAGTCTATAAATTGTTATGTGTAATAAAGTGGAATGACACAGGGCAAAAGTATTGAACAAGCTTACTGAAATTTATTTAAAACTTAGTAGAAAAGCCTTTGTTGGTAATGACAGCTTCAAGATGCCTCTTGTATGGAGAAACTAGTCACATAAATTGCTCAGGTGAGATTTTGGCCCATTCTTCCACACAAACTGTCTTCAAATCTTGAAGGTTCCGGGTGCTTTTATGAACTCTGATCTTCAGTTCTTTCCACAGATTTTCAGTTGGATTCAAGTCGGGTGATTGACCGGGCCATTCTAGCAGCTTTATTTTCTTTCTCTGAAACCATTTGAGAGTTTCCTTGGCTGTGTGTTTGGGATCATTGTCTTGCTGAAATGTCAACCTTTGTTTCATCTTCAGCATCCTGGTAGATGGCAGCAGATTCTAATCAAGAATGTCTCGGTCTATTTCTCCATTCATCCTTCCTTCCATTATATGAAGTCTCCCAGTACCATATGCTGAAAAACAGCCCCACACCATGATGTTCCCACCTCCAAACTTCACTGTTGATATGGTGTTTTGGGGGTGATGTGCAGTGCTGTTTGTCCTCCAAACATGGTGTGAACTATGACATCCAAAGATTTCAATTTTGGTCTCATCTGACCAGACTATACACACCCAGTATTTCATAGGCTTGTCCAAATATTCTGCAGCAAACTTTAAATGAGCTTCAACATGCTTTTTCTTCAGCAATGGAGTCTTGCACAGTGAGCGTGCATAAAGGCCATTGCAGTTGAGTGCATTACTTACTGTTTTCTTTGAAACAACTGTGCCTGCTAATTCAGGTCTTTCTGAAGCTCTCTGCGAGTGGTCCCTGGCTTTTAGACAACTCGTCTGATCATTGTCTTGACTCCTCTGTCAGAAATCTTGCAAGGCGCACCTGGCCGTGACTGGTTTATGGTGAATTGATGTTCTTTCCACTTCCGGATTATGGCCCCAACGGTGCTCACTGGAACATTCAGAAGTTTAGAAATACATCTGCAACCAATGCCATCAGTATGTTTTGCAACAGTAAGGTTGCAAAGGTCTTGAGAGAGCTCTTTGCTTTTACCCATCATGAGATGCTCCTTGTGTGACACCTTGGTAATGAGAAACCTTGTTATAGGCCATCAATTAGGACTAAACCAGCTGATATTAATTTGCACTGATGGGGGGC